TGGGGGTAAAAAGGAGATGAGGTCAAAGAGTCCAGGGAGAAAAAGAATGCTCAGAAACTGACTGTGGTTGCAATTGTACAATTCTGCTTTCTGTTTTTAAAGTATGGAATGATGTGTATTAACTCCCAATTATTAATAAGAAAAAAATTACTTCCAGACATATGTTCAGTAATAAGGGTCCACATTCAACACAAGTGCATGAAAGAGATGCTAATGTTAAGATCTAGCAGTGAAAGTCATCTTCCTGAAGAACTGTTTGATCAAAATATGAGGGTCTAGAATGGCCTGATTCTGGACAGATTCCGTAACTGTCAGAATGTGAAGACTCTTCACTTCCAACGCTGGCTGATATATGTACCTTTCCTCCACTAAACTTACCCCAAAGTGTGTGTGTGTATATTTTGTATGGCACACAGAAAGGAACTTCTTTAGGATATAAAAGGTCCCAAAAGGCCCCATTGCAACAGTAACAACAAGAAAACAACTGAAAATCCTGTTTTCCTTAAAGTCATCCAAGACCTGTGCAAACCAAATACAAACAGACCCAATTCTAGTCGAGACTGTACCCTTCCTAGAGGAGCCAGACCCAGGGCCACTTTCTTACCTGGGGCAGTGAAGCAGGCTTGCCAGCAGCAAATTAACTTTGCAGGGACAAGAATAAACCTTTATGAGCTATTGAGGTAGGCTGGCATCTGTATACAAATACCACACCTTAGGAATGTTGTTTCTTCTCTGACTCCTTAGAGCAGTGATTCTCAACCCTCCTGATGCCACGACCCTTTAATACAGTGCCTCGTGTTATGGTGACCCCCCCAACCGTAAAATTATTTTCGTTGCTACTTCATCATTGCAATTTTGCTACTGTTATGAATTGGGCGACCCCTGTGAAAGGGCTGTTCAACCCCCACAAAGGGGTCGTGACCCCCAGGTTGAGAACCGCTGCCTTCAAAGTAGGGATGTTTAGACCAAAGGCTACTTTCTTACATTTTCCTTTCAGCTTTCTAGTCCTGTTACCAGCTTCTAGCACTACAATTACATGCCCATTAACAGATGAGTGGGGACAGAAAATGAGATACACACACAAAGGCTTATTATTCAGTCACAAAGAGATGAAGTTCTGATACGCGTAAGTATTATGCCATGGGAAAACCTTACATACAATCTAAGTGATATAAGTAAAAATCAAACATAGCTGATTTGTTGATTATATGATTCTATTGAAGTGCTATCAGGAGTGGAGAGAAGATGGAAGAGGAAAGGGAGTAGAGGTGATAGTTTCTGTTCAGTGAATATTGACATTTTCTTTGGGGTGATCTTATGAACTGAATGTGTGCTCCCAAAATACATGTTGGAAAATTAAGTCCCTAACCTGTGTACGCCAGCAGGGTACCAACAGTAAAGAGTTTTCAGCAGAGATTCCTGACTCAAACAGACTAGGAAGAAGAGTCTATCCATTTCATAAAAACAGTCACTGAAAATCTTAGCAACAGTAGAACACTGGCTGATGTAGTGTCAGAGGATGAGCCCCTCAAGTTGGAAGACACTCAAAATATGATGGAGAAGAATTATCTCCTCAAAGTAGAGTCTATATTACTGACGTGGACGAAGCAAAGCTGTAGGGGCCTCACTGGCAAATGAGAAGAAATGGTTGCAACATTAATAACCAGAACATGGAATATAAGAAATATGCATCTAGAAAATTGTCTAAAATTAAATGGAACACATATAGAGTGAAATGAGTCAAAATGGACCGACACTGACCACAGCAAATCAGGTAGTCACATGGGCTATTCTACAGGGAACGACAATTCAGGATGCATGGTATCACATTATGAAAAAAACATTTCAAGACCAACCCTGAAGTACTGTGTTGTCAGGGATAATATCCTTATGCATATAAGGAAGCCCAGTTTATAAGACTATTATTCAAATTTACACACAAATCACTAAGCCCAAAGATGAGGGTATTTAAAATTATACCAACTAATGGAGTCTGAAATTATCAAACATAAAACCAATATGCATTGGTAATGACTGGTGATTGCAATGCAAAAGTTGGAAATAAAAGAGAAGGATCAGCAGTTGAAAAATATGGCCTTACTGGAGATCCCCTTGCAGAGGGGTCTCGGGGAGGAGACGAGCCAGTCAGGGTGAGATGTAGCCACGATGAAAAATACAACTTTCCTCTAGTTCCTAAATGTTTCCTCCCCGCTCCCACTATCATGACACGAATTCTACCTTGCAAGTCTGGCTATACCGGAGGATGTACACTGGTACAGATAGGAACTGGAAATACAGGGAATCCAGGGCGGATGAGCCCTACAGGACCAGTGGTGTAAGTGGCGATACTGGGAGGGTAGAGGGAAAGTGGGTTGGAAAGAGGGAATCCGTCCCCTGGGGGACGGACAACCGAAAAGTGGGTGAAGGGAGACATCGGACAGGGCAAGATATGACAAAATAACAATTTATAAATTATTATGGGCTCATGAGGGAGGGGGGAGCAGGGAGGGAGAGGGAAAATGAGGACCTAATGCCGGGGGCTTAAGTGGAGAGGAAATGTTTTGAGAATGATGAGGGCAATGAATGTACAAATGTGCTTTACACAATTGATGTGTGTATGGATTGTGATAAGAGTTGTATGAGCCCCTAATAAAATGATTTTTTTTTAAAATATGGCCTTGTGAAAGGAAAAACGGGGAATGTATGATAGAACGTTGCAAAAACAGCAACTTATTCATTGCAAAGACTTCTTTCAACACGAGATATAATTTCAATAAGAGATGACTTTACACATGGACCTCCTGATAGATGGAATACAAAGGAATCAGATCAACTACATATGGGGAAAGAGACAATGGAAAAGTTCAATCAGCCATAAAAGTCAGGGTCCCCTGGAGAAAAGACCATGGACTGCTCATTTGCAAGTTAAAGTTGAAGCTGAAGAAAATTGTAACAAATCCATGACATCCAAGATATGACCAAGAGTTATTTTCCACCTGACTTTAGCA